GGGTCCATTATGACTGGGGTCCATTATGACTGGGGTCCACAGACTGGGGTCCATTGGGGCCCATTATGACTGGGGGTCCATTATGATCAGCCCATTATGGCCAGCCCATTAAGTGACTGGGGTCCATTATACCGGGGTCCATTAAGCCCTGGGCCCATTAAGACTGGGGGTCCATTAAGACTGTGTCCATTATGATCAGTTTACTATGATCAAAATTCATTATGACTGTGGCCCTTGCGGCTGGGGTCCATTATGACTGGGGTCCATTATGACTGGGGTTCATTATGCCAAGCCCCTTAAGATCAAATACCCACAGACTGGGGTCCATTAAGACCAGTTCATTATGATCAGTCCATTAAGACTGGGGTCCATTACATTCTGGGGCCCATTAAGACTGGGGCCCATTAAGACTAGGTCCATTATGACCGGGGTCCATTATGACCGGGGGTCCATTATGACTGGGGCCCACGACTGGGGTCCATTATGACTGGGGTCCATTAAGACTGGGGCCCATTATGGCTAGCCCCTTATGACTGGGGTCCCCCCTTATGACTGGGCGCTCCATTATGACTGGGGCCCATTATGACTGGGGTCCATTATGACTGGGGTCCATTATGACTTGGGGCCCATTATGACTGGGGTCCACTGACTGGGGTCCATTATGACTGGGGTCCATTATGACTGGGGTCCATTATGACTGGGGCCTTATGACTGGGGCCCATTATGACTGGGGTCCATTATGACTGGGCCTATGACTGGGGCCCAGAATTATGACTGGGGTCCCATTATGACTGGGGTCCATTATGACTGGGGCCCACTTATGACTGGGGCCCATTGTACTGGGACCCATATGACTGGGGCCATTATGGTCCATTATGACTGGGGTCCATTATGACTAGGGTCCATTATGACTGGGTCTATGACTGGGGCCCATTATGACTAGGCCCCATTATGACTGAGTCCATTATGACTGGGGGTCCTTGTGATGGGGTCCATTATGACTGGTCCATTATGACTGGGGTCCTTATGACTGGGGTCATTATGACTGGGGTCCCGTGACTGGGGCCATTATGACTGGGGCCCATTATGACTGGGGCCCATTATGACTGGGGCCACTTGTTGGGATCCTGTGGGATCCATTATGACTGGGGGCCATATGACTGGGGGCCATTATGACTGGGGCCACTTATGACTGGGGTCCTTATGACTGGGGTCCATTATGACTGGGGGCCATTATGACTGGGGGCCTTATGACTGGGGCCCTTATGACTGGGTCCTTATGACTGGGATCCATTATGACTGGGGCCTTATGACTGGGGCCTTATGACTGGGGCCCTTATGACTGGGGTCCTTGTGACTGGGACTCCATTATGACTGGGGGCCTTATGACTGGGGGCCATGACTGGGGCCTTATGACTGGGGTCCCTTGTGACTGGGATCCATTATGACTGGGGGCCTTATGACTGGGGGCCTTTGACTGGGGCCCTTATGACTGGGGTCCTTGTGCTGGGTCCTATGACTGGGGGCCATTGACTGGGAGCCCATTATGACTGGGGCCCTTATGACTGGGGTATGACTGGGATCCATTATGACTGGGGGGCCATTATGACTGGGGCCTTATGACTGGGGCCATGACTGGGGTCCATGACTGGGATCCATTATGACTGAGACCGTATGACTGGGGGCCATTATGACTGGGGCCCTTATGACTGGGGTCCCTTGACTGGGGATCCATTATGACTGGGGGCCATTATGACTGGGGGCCTTATGACTGGGGCCCTTATGACTGGGGTCCTTGTGACTGGGATCCCATTATGACTGGGGCCAATGACTGGGGCCATTATGACTGGGGCCCTTATGACTGGGGTCCCTTGTGACTGGGATCCATTATGACTGGGGGCCTTATGACTGAGGGGCCATTATGACTGGGGCCCTTGACTGGGGTCCTTGTGACTGGGATCCATTATGACTGGGGCCATATGCATTATGACTGGGGCCCCCTTGACTGGGGTCCTTATGACTGGGTCCATTATGACTGGGGCCCATTATGACTGGGGCCTTATGACTGGGGCCCCTTATGACTGGGGTCCTTGTGACTGGGATCCCATTATGACTGGGGGCCATTATGACTGGGGGCCATTATGACTGGGGCCATTATGCTGGGGTCCCTTATGACTGGGATCCGTATGACTGGGGGCCATTATGACTGGGGGCCATTATGACAGGGCCCTTATGACTGGGGTCCCTTATGACTGGGTCCATTATGATGGGGGCCATTATGACTGGGGGCCATTATGACTGGGGCCATTGTCCTTATGGGCCATGACTGGGGGCCTTATGACTGGGGGCCATTATGACCAGGGGCCTTATGACTGGGGTCCCTTATGACTGGGATCCCATTATGACTAGGGGCCATTATGACTAGGGGCCATTAGGCTGGGCCCTTATGACTGGGTCCTTGTGACTGGGATCCATTATGACTGGGGGCCATTATGACTGGGGGCCATTATGACTGGGGCCCTTATGACTGGGGTCCCTTATGACTGGGATCCATTATGACTGGGGCCGTGACTGGGGCCATTATGACTGGGGCCCTTATGACTGGGGTCCCTTGTGACTGGGATCCATTATGACTGGGGGCTATTGACTGGGGGCCATTATGACTGGGGCCCTTGACTGGGGTCCTGTGACTGGGATCCATTATGACTGGGGGCCATTATGACTGGGGCCATTATGACTGGGGCCCTTATGACTGGGGGTCATGACTGGGTCCATTATGACTAGGGCCTATGGGGGCCATTATGACTGGGGCCCTTATGACTGGGGTCCCTTGTGACTGGGATCAATGACTGGGGCCATTATGACTGGGGGCCATTATGACTGGGGAGGCCCTTATGACTAGGGTCCTTGTGACTGGGGCCATTATGACTGGGGGCCATTATGACTGGGGGCCTTATGACTGGGGCCCCCTTATTTAGGGGTCCTTGTGACTGGGGCCATTATGACTGGGGCCATTATGACTGGGGGCCATTATGACTGGGGCCCTTATGACTGGGGTCCCTTGTGACTGGGATCCATTATGACTGGGGGCCATTATGACTGGGGCCATGACTGGGGCCCTTATGACTGGGGTCCCTTATGACTGGGACCATTATGACTGGGGCCCTTATGACTGGGGGCCATTATGACTGGGGCCCTTATGACTGGGGGAGCCATTATGACTGGGCCCCTTATGACTGGGGGCCATTATGACTGGGGCCCCTTGTGACTGGGGAGCCTTATGACTGGGGCCCTTATGACTGGGGGCCATTATGACTGGGGCCCTTGTGACTGGGGACCTTATGACTGGGGCCCATGACTGGGGGCCATTATGACTGGGGCCCTTGTGACTGGGGGCCATTATGACTGGGCCCTTATGACTGGGGGCCATTATGACTGGGGCCCTTGTGACTGGGGACCATTATGACTGGGGCCCTTGTGACTGGGGCCATTATGACTGGGGCCCTTGTGACTGGGGGCCTTATGACTGGGGCCCCTTGACTGAGACCCATTATGACTGGGGCCCTTATGACTGGGGGCCATTATGACTGGGGCCCTTATGACTGGGGGCCATTGACTGGGGCCCTTGTGACTGGGGGCCATTATGAGGCCCTTATGACTGGGGACCATTATGACTGGGGCCCTTGTGACTGGGGAGCCATTATGACTGGGGCCCTTGTGACTGGGGACCATTATGACTGGGGCCCTTGTGACTGGGGACCATTATGACTGGGGCCCTTGTGACTGGGGGCCTTATGACTGGGGCCCTTATGACTGGGGGGCCATTATGACTGGGGCCCCTTGTGACTGGGGGCCATTATGACTGGGGCCCTTATGACTGAGATCCATGACTGGGGCCCTTGTGACTGGGGACCATTATGACTGGGGCCTTGTGACTGGGGGCCATTATGACTGGGGCCCTTATGACTGGGGGGCCATTATTGGGGCCACTTATGACTGGGGGCCATTATGACTGGGGCCCTTATGACTGGGGGCCCTTATGACTGGGGCCCTTATGACTGAGGCCATTATGACTGGGGCCCCTTATGACTGGGGGCCCATTATGACTGGGGCCCTTATGACTGAGGCCATTATGACTGGGGCCTTATGACTGGGACCATTATTGGGGCCCTTGTGACTGGGACCTTATGACTGGGGCCCTTGTGACTGGGGACCATTATGACTGGGGCCCTTATGACTGGGGCCATTATGACTGGGGCCCTTATGACTGGGGGCACCATTATGACTGGGGCCCTTATGACTGGGGAGCCATTATGACTGGGGCCCCTTATGACTGACGCCATTATGATCAGCCCTTATGACTTAAATATGCAGACTGGGCCCTATGACTGGGGGCCATTATGACCGGGGGCCCTATGACTGGGGGGGGCTATTATGACTGGGGGCCCTTTGGTGACTGTGGGGGACCATTATACCGGGGGCCCTCAGACTGGGGGACCATTATGACTGGGGCCCTTGTGACTGGGGACCATTAAGATCAGTCTTTGGTGACTGGGGGGACCATTATGACTGGGGCCTGAAATTGGGGGGGACCATTATGACTGGGGCCCTTGTGACTGGGGGGGACTATGACTGGGGGCCCTAGGATTGGGGGGACCATTAAGACTGGGGCCCCTGTGACTGGGGACCATTATGACTGGGGCCCCAGACTGGGGGGACCATTATGACTGGGGGCCCCTAGACTGGGGGACTATTATGACTGGGGCCCTTGTGACTGGGGACCATTATGACTGGGGGGCCCCTGGTGACTCTGGGGGACCATTATGACTGGGGGCCCCTGTGACTGTGACCTCATTAAGACTGGGGCCCTGCAGACCGGGGGGGACCATTATGACTGGGGCCCTTGTGACCGGGGGACCATTATGACTGGGGCCCTTGTGATCAGGACCATTATGACTGGGGCCCCTGTAGGACTGGGGGACTGATATGACTGGGGGCCCCTAGACTGGGGGACCATTATGATTGGGGCCCCTAGGATTGGGGACCACAGACTGGGGGCCCCAGGGACAGACCATTAAGATCAAAGGTCTTGTGACTGGGGGGACCATTATGACTGGGGCCCTTGTGACTGGGGACCACAGGACTGGGGCCCCTGTGACTGGGGACCATGACTGGGGGCCCTGGTGACTGGGGACCATTATGATCAAATCCTGTGGACTAGACCACAGACTGGGGCCCCAGACTGTGAAGATCAGTCTTTGTGACTGGGGACCATTAAGACTGGGGCCCTTAAAATCGGGGACCACAAGACTGGGGCCCTTGTGACTTGGGGGGACCATTAAGACTGGGGGCCCTGTGACTGGGGGACCATTATGACTGGGGCCCCTAGACTGGGGACTATTATGACTGGGGCCCCAGACCAGACCATTATGACTGGGGCCCCAGACTGGGTCCATTATGACTGGGGCCCTAGACTGGGGACCATTAAGACCGGGGCCCCAGGACTGTGGGGACCATTAAGACTGGGGGCCCTTGTGACTGGGGACCATTATGACTGGGGCCCTTGTGACTGGGGGACCATTATGACTGGGGCCTTGTGACTGGGGACCATTAAGATTGGGCCCTCAGGACTGGGGACCATTATGTGACTGGGGCCCCCTAGACTGGGGACCATTATGACTGGGGGCCCCAGATCAGTCCATTATGGCTGGGGCCCCTTGTGACTGGGGGGACCATTAAGACTGGGGGCCCTTGTGACAAAGAATCTCATTAAGACCAGCCCTTGTGACTGGGGGACCATGACTGGGGCCCTCAGACCGTGAACTCATTAAGACCAGCCCTTGTGATCAGACCATTATGATCAGTTCCTTGTGACTGGGGACCATTATGACTGGGGCCCCAGACGGGGGTCCATTAAGATCAGCCCTTGGTGACTGGGGACCATTAAGACTGGGGCCCTTGTGACGGGGGACCATTAAGACTGGGGGCCCTTGTGATCAAAGAATCTCATTATGATCAGGGCCCTTTTGTGACTGGGGGACCATTATGACTGGGGGTTCTTGTGACTGGGGGACCATTAAGACTGGGGGTCTCAGGACTGGGGGGACCATTATGACTGGGGCCCTTGTGACTGGGGGACCATGACTGGGGGGCCCCAGACTGTATCCATTATGACTGGGGCCTTGTGACTGGGGACCATATGAGACTGGGGGCCCTTGTGACTGGGGGTCCATTATGACTGGGGGCCTCTGTGGGACTGGGGACCATTAAGACCGGGGCCCTTGGTGACTGTGGAATCATTAAGATTGGGGCCCTTGGTGACTGGGGACCATTATGACTGGGGCCCCGGTGACTGGGGACCATTAAGACTGGGGCCCCTGTGAGGGGGGACCATTACACTGGGGCCCTTTGTGACTGTATCCTATTAAGATCAGTCTCTTGTGACCGGGGGGACCATTATGACTGGGGCCTTGGTGACTGTAATCATTATGACTGGGGGCCCTGTGACTGGGGACCATTAAGATCAGCCCTGTGACTGGGGACCATTATGAATGGGGCCCTAGACTGGGGACCATTATACCGGGGGCCCTCAGGACTGGGGACCACATATGGACTGGGGCTCCCCAGACTGGGGACCACAGATTGGGGGCCCCTGTGACTGGGGGTCCATTATGACTGGGGCCCCTTGTGACTGGGGGACCATTAAGACTGGGGCCCTCAGACTGGGGACCATTAAGACTGGGGGCCCTTGTGAATGGGGGACCATTATGACTGGGGCTCCTTAGGATCAGAATCATTAAGACTGGGGCCCCAGGACTGGGGACCACAGCACTGGGGGCCCTCAGACTGGGGACCACAAGACTGGGGCCCTTTAGACTGGGGACCATTATGACCGGGGCCCTGTGACTGTGAATCATTATGACCGGGGCCCCAGGACTGGGGACGACTGGGGCTCCCTTGTGACTGGGGGACCATTATGACTGGGGCCCCTTGTGATCAGACCATTGGATCAGTCTCTTGTGACTGGGGACCACATGGACTAAATGGGCCCCAGACTGGGGACCATTATGACTGGGGCCCCTGTGACTGGGACCATTAAGACTGGGGCCCTGTGACTAAAATCATTAAGACTGGGGGGCCCCTGTAGACTGGGGGACCATTATGCACTTGTGGGGGCCCTTGTGATCAGACCATTATGACTGGGGCCCTTGGTGACTGGGGACCATTAAGACTGTGGCCCCGGTGACTGGGGGACCATTATGACTGGGGCCCCCAGACTGGGGACCACATGACTGGGGCCCTTGTGGATCAGAATCTGACATTAATGGGAATTACTGTTGTTTTGAGGGCGATAAAAGTGTATCGTTTCCTCAGTTGGTGTTGGTTAGGTTAGGTTAGGTTAGGTTAGGTCAGATTAGGTCATTAGTTATTGTTGGTACTGCCTTATGGAAGGTCATATCTATGCTGTTGCTTGGGTTAGGTTAGGTTAAGCTAGACTAGGTTAGCTTTGCTTAGCTTAGGTTAGGTTAGGTTAGGTTAGACTAGGTTAAACTAGGTTAGGTTTGGTTAGGTTAGGTCATTAGTTACTATTAGTACTGTCCTATACAAGGTCACTTCTATGTTCTTGTTTGAGAGCACGTGTGTATTAATTACAGTGGTTATTGTTATACATGGATGGTAATGGGATGTGATACGCCCATATCCTTCTGTTCGAACCCCGCGGTGAAGCTGAGTCACGGGAATGAGTCTCCGAACTGTTGTGTCTCGTTTGGGGTCGATGCTGCTTCACTGTTGAGAGGGAGCGAACTTTTGACCCCTACTACTGTAATGTTATAAACCGCGGTAAGTAGTTGAGGTTACCGTTACGTCTCAGAGGATTGTTAATTTTGTGTAAACATTAGCTCAAGTTAAGGTCACCGTTAACTTTGTGTGTTAATACTGTTATTCTCTTCTCTGATGGAAACTTTGGTCTTAGGAAGAGATATATATGAGTAGTTATAGTTAGTTCTACCAAAGTTATCATCAGTGAAAACTAACAGATATAGCGTAGTAACTTATATACCGGTAACGCTGGCCTGAGGCGTAATCTAAACCTAGTAGTGGAGGAGCAAGTAAACAATATGAACCTGTTATAGACCCTAATGACATAAACTGTTATAACCTAATAATATAACGCCTCAATGTTGCTTCACTCTCTCTCTTTTACAGGTACTTTAAAGGACAATGTTTGGTGGATTTGACATCCTGTGTACCGCCGGCAAGGCCGTGGGTTCGTAACACTCGTCTTGCCCGCGGTGCCCACCGTTTCTCTGTGGATGTCGGTCACACTAGAATAACCCGTTACAGTACATCCTTCTTTCCTCACACAGCCAAACTGTGGAATGCTCTGCCTTCTTCTGTGTTTCCATACTCATACAATCTGTCTCACTTCAAAAAGCTGGTTTTCTGGCATCTTCGTGGTGTAGATTATTACAAAAATCTTTTATATTTTTAATTTCTTTTTACTCTTATTTTTTCACCCCCTGGGCTAAGTTGTGGGTCGATGACCTGTGCCCGGGTGGACTATTCCCGTAAAACAAATCAAAACAATCTCTGCTCGTACATGGATACACACATATGGACTGGCCCACGTGGCTCTGTGTACACCTCACATGTGCATGGACTTCGAAATGCATCACGAGGGTTAGTGAGTGTCGTTATTGGTGTGGTGGTGTGAGGTCCTGTGTAGGGCAGAGTTTACTGTACCCTGTTGCTGTTCTGTGGCAGGTAAGTCGTTGGTTAGGTTAGGTCGTTAGTTTTAGCATACGATGGTTCTTAATTGCCAGAGTTTTCATTGACTGTATTTAAAAAAAAAAAATAATCTCGCTATTTATTGCTGATGTTTTAAATACTTGACCCACACCTGAGCCACGCTACCAATTTTACCTTTAAGATGTCCCTCTCATGATTATCTCACTATTTTCCTCCTATTTCTTTGTATTCTGGCTTCTCCCTATTATACTGTACATCACTTCATAATTACATCTATCCAATCCTTGTCGTTGTGTATGAGGCATAACAGATAAGAAACTGTAAACATGTGTGAGGGGGGGGTAGGGGAGAGGGAGGGGAGGAGAGGGGGTAGGGAGAGGTGAGGGGGAGGAGAGGTGAGGGGGGGGAGGAGAGGTGAAGGGAGGGAGAGGTGAGGGGGAGGAGAGGAGGGGAGTGAGAGGAGGGGGAGATAGGGGAGGAGAGGTGAGGGGGGTAGGAGAGGTGAGGGGGGTAGGGGAGAGGTGGAGGGGAGAAGGTGAACTTTGCCCTCCCTCCGTTTCTAGAAGTTAGTGAGGAGAGTTGCAGGTGGTTCTGTCTTAACTCGCTTCACCGTCGCATTAAATGAGTTGAGACTTGGTTTATGGCGCTCACTGTCCATCACAACTCCTGCCTGAGCCATCTTGATTAATGACGTTACTTACAGGTGTGTGTGTGTGTGTGTGTGTGGGTGTGTGTGTGTGTGTGTGTGTAGAGGTGTATTTCCCTTCCTGATTAACCTAACCTAACTCCTACCTACCGCACAGCCACGTGTCTAGGTCAGGACTCGAACCCATGAGAATGATTGAGGGATACACGTCTCACCACTGTGTTGTTGCTCGTCACTCTGGGGAACATAAGGGTAGAAGTTAACAATATGCTCCCATTAGCGTCACATCTTCACTAGTTTCTATTCCCTCATACTTTATTACATGAATGAATTTTGAGTATATTTCACAAGTTGTAAAGACCTGTTGTACACATTAGTATCATATGTTCAGTTAGATCATCAACATTACAGTACTAGCATATTAATATTGTGGTCCATAGTTATACATCAACATTTTTATAACAAATGAGTAAAGATACAGGAAATGTTATAAAAGAAAAGAAGCTTAGAATGATGAGTGATACAAAAATGTATTGTGAATAACAAAAAATATTTATTATTTATTTATTAAGACAATTTAAGTAAAAAAAATCTACCTTGCTGAACCTATATCATAATCTTAATTGCTTATCAACGCAAATGTTAACAGCATTCTGTCTATCAACCATCAGTCTTCTCTCTATAAATATATCTACTATACGAAATCGCCGAAAAGCACTCTCTATCAAAGGTCTCATTAACATCTGGTATCTTGGTAACCCGGTGTGGATCTGTCTCACAAGCCACCAGCGTTGTGAATACCGGCAGTATTAAATCTTCACTGTTCTGAATTCATGCCTGTTTCCTTATATATTGGTGTCTTTATCATCCATACCGAAAGTAACAGTTTTGGCTTCCGTCCGATTACTTACCGTAGACTTTAAGGAATGGGTCTTAGTGTGAGAGAAACTGAGAATATATTAGAACAGTTTATTACTTGGGGTAGTCGGGCCAATATCTGTCCTCGGTAAGTTAGTTATACACCTTGTCTTTGTGATCTTCAGATAATTGATGATAAGTAAAAAGCTTTCCGCTGACCAAAACTCTCATTAACTCAAGTAATAGGAGTCAATGATCACCATAAGTACAGAACTTTGGGTTTTTTGTATTATTATACCGCTGTAATTCCCTTCAGCCTCTAACAAGAGTATAGACTTTTTTGTAATTCATGTATTTGTTTTTACAGAGGTCAAAGGTCACCATCAATTCCTGTAGGACTGAAGGAGGAGTTGTATTACCTTGTGAATATATGAAATGCTATATACAAACCTAATTAATAGACAGCTAATTAATTCATAGTTATTTTTTTAAGTCTTTTTTTAGGATTATTCATTATTAGTTTATTAACGATGAACGGTGATAAGAGACTATGGTTAGTTATGAGGGATTAGTTAAGCGTGTACACAGCCGGTGGGAGACCGTACACTACCACCCTCCATAATACACTGTTGTGATAGCCCCGGGTCCTGCCACATGACCACCTTGATCTTATACGGAGCTCAACGGTACACTGAAACTTGTCTTCTTCCGTATATACTGATATGATTTAAACAAATTATGTATTAATAGAAGGAGGGGGATAGTGAGAGGGAGGGGGATAGTGAGAGGGAGGGGGAATAGTGAGAGGGAGGAATAGGAGGAGAAGAGAAGGAGGGGAATAGTGAGAGGGAGGGGAATAGTGAGAGGGAGGGAACAGAGAGAGAGGGAAGGAGAAATAGAGAGAGTATGGCTGGGGATTTGTTCTGTCTTTATCTTTCTTTCTTTCTTTTTTCCTCCTTTCTCCCTTCCCCCTCTCTCTCTCCCCCACCCACACATATATTGCTGTACATGAAGAAAGTCTCACCAATGATTCAAGTACAACAGTAATCTCTAAAACCTCTCGTCTACCAGATATTCCATCCGGTTACCAGATTAACACACACACACACACACACACACACACACACACACACACACACACACAGAATATGTTTTAATTAGTCCAAGTAAAATTGGATTATTTTGTCAAATGCTTTAACCTCCGTATGTGTATTTGTATATGTAAAGTCTTGGTTGGTCAGAGTGTTACTGGTGTTGATTGTTGTGGTTGGTCAGGTTAACTCGTCACTCACTCCAAACTGAGGACTCCAGAGTGGCCAGTTGCCTGCACTGTACCTCCCTCTCAGAGTATAGTGATCCAACACACTTGCCTCGCTCCCTCGTCTGAAGAGTTAGAGGAAGTATTTCAGGTGGGA